ATATTTTAATTATTGTAAATATTGATATGTGTTCATAAGCTTTCAAAAATTTATTATTACTTATGTAATTTAGAATCAGACACTTTAGTTTTTATTTTTTTCGTTCTAAGCACAAAAAATCTTAAAATACATAATCTTACTAAGATATACTTATATTTCGTAGATAACAACCAACATAAATGTAAATAAAATAATTAATTAAAAATTTAAGATATTTATAATAAAAAAGATTATAGTTGAATTCATAGAATAGAAAGAATCCAATATATATATATATATATATATATCCTAATGATAATACTGACTAAATATAATATATATAAATTATAATAACTAAAATATATAATATTATTAATACAAATTATACATACAAACTATAAATTAATATAAAATTTAAAGTAAATATCAATCAACTATTATAATATATTTATTTCTTAAATATTTAAGTCCGTGCATGAGCACGAGAAAAACACCTAGTAAAATATATTTTAGGAATAAACACCATACACTTCTTGATATATTACAAATTATAAAAATGCATATATATATATATATATATTACAAAGTTTCATAAAGTTTCATAATTAATCTGAATCAGATGGATATCCCGACGAAGCTGAATCAAAGTCATCTTTGAATTCTCCTCTCTCCGACTCTGAATCTTAGAAAACATCGTTGTCGCCGGTTCCACAAAAGATCAATTTCAAGAGAGATATGAACATCAAGATCCCCTAACAAATTGCTCAACGATTGTTGCATCGCGGCCGTATCTGAAACTCCTTACACTTTCCTTCTTGGGATAACAGATATCACGGTGATCCAAGGGTCTTTTTTATTACGTACCCGAGGATAATGAATGTAAGTTACTTGATCTACTTGTGATGCTAGTACGAACGGATTATAGTTTGCAAGTTTTCTTCGCGAATGAACTGATGTTACTCCAAATTTGTGAGTCCGGACACCATATCCAACAACTGGCTTGTACCAATCAGCAAGGAAAGCAACACACCTTAAACTAATGATCCCCGGAAATTGAATCTCCAATATCCCACACAAAATACCGTAGTAAATTATTTCACCAGATTTAGCACATATATCGTGATTTACGGTTGGTTGTGTGTTGTTGTCGCGGAAAATCTTAAAAGCATATCCACCCGTACAATACATGGGATACGACACAACAACATACTTGGGACCAGCAGCCAACTCCTCAAGCCATAGCCTAATTGTCTCTCTTCTAGACAAGAGATATTTTACCTGCATAATAATCATATTTATTAATCAAGGCACCATATACAAAACTTCTACAATTCATAAGTAATAAAAAAAATCCATAACATTTACATAAATTTGGAGCCAAGCTACAAATTGTTTGTCCTTAAGTTCAAAAATCTGATCTTCTTTGTAATAAGGATATGCATCCCTGATATGCTCCATGTATATCCTGGTAATGCTTTCATTATTAATTACAAATTTTCCATGTAAATATAACTTTTAATTTATGATAAACACATTTACCTTTTACATTGCATTACTTCTTCGCAGTTTGCTTAAATATATTTATGTAAGTGCATTTGCTGCTCTGTGAGTTTTCGGCTTTTCCTCTTCCACTTTAGCGACTAAGCAAATGATATGAATCGTTGAAGGCCTTCTTTAAACTCATCTGTAAGAAGTCCAGTTGATTGATCTGTGATTTTGATCCATCCAAAATCTGAAATACTCATTTTGATTTGAGGAAGACATTTTTGTTTAATGTAGTTTTGTAGTTGGAAGTATTATCAGTAAGAAAGACAATGTGCAGGCGTGAAAATATATAGAAAACTTTCTGACAGTTACTATCCGTTTCTGACCGATCTATAACGTCTATAAAACAGCTACAGAACGGTAAAAAATTCAAATTACGGTTAGAAAGTCAACGGTCTTTATACGTTGAAAATTTCTGATGGATTTTCAACGACTGTGTTTCAAAATTCTTTTCGTCAGAAATTTTCAACGGATTTCCAACAATTGAGTACCAAAATTTGTTCCGTCAGAAATTTCAGACCGTTTTTTATCCGTTTTTTCGTTGGAAATTTCCAACCAACTTGCAGATCTGTTGGAAACTCGAAAGAATTTTCCAACCACAAAAAAAAAGTCGGATGGAAAGTCCGTCGAAAATGACCTTCGTTTCTTGTCGTGGAAGTCGGTGGGTCAGAAAACAATATTTATGTGATGGCTAAGAGCAATTATTTGAAACCGTCCATCAACACAAAAACCGAGAAAACGTATGGTGTGATCGTATAATGAAATTATTAGCGAGGACTACTAGTGAACTGTCCATGTTCATATTTCATCCTTTTGCACCACAAATGTCTCTAAACACCTTCAAAAACTCTATAGGACACTCCAATCCTGAGGTTTAGAATTTTTTTGTTTTAAATTAAACCAGTGGCTAACCTAAGTAAATCTAATATGAACCGATCAGTGGTTTAAATCGAATTTTCAGATTTATTACTCATGCTTTCTTGGTTTCTCTCTTTGTTTTGTTCTTTGATTTTTTTAGATTTTAGGGTTGCAAAAGGGGTAAATCATTTGGGAAGATTAATAGAGGTTCGGTCATGTTATAACCGCTTCTTCTGGGTCAGATTGTACCAGTATCACCATAAACCATTGAGTTTAATATCAGTTAACGTTATAAACCATTAAAACCAAGCTCAATCTTCGTCTATATGGAAACGAGTTTCAATCTTTCGTTTTGGGGAGAAATAGGTTGATATAGTTTAATTGTGTGCAATTGGGACAAAGTTCAAATTGCGTGTTGATATGTTACTATACGATAGTTATGATGTGGAAATAGGTGGTTTACCTTTTTTTAATATTAATACATTTTGAAGTAAGTAGTTGAATAAACAAGCAAACATATAACATATCAACTAAGGGGACACATTATATGTAGATGTCTATCTACAAGTAAGTTTAATTTGAAGTATAGAGCTTCATCCTTCGAAGAGAAAGGTAGGCTAAGAGACGGTATCCAATAATCATAGCAACAAGAGCGCTCACTTCCTTAAGCCCATTCACTATCTCCTCTCCGTTTACATCATGCATGATTTGTTCATATTGAACCTTGACAAGGAGCTTGTATGTGTGGTAGTTGAATGACATGTAACGTATCCATGAAATAAAAACCGGAACTTTCTGCCACACAAACCAACAAGTGTTAATTAATGTGCATTAGAGTTGGTTGCAACACTCCTATGTATAATGATATGTCTCAGGATTTTCTTATCTAAAACTGCATCTGGATGTTAACTAGAGGTAAACATCTCACTGTAAGTAGAAGTTTACAACATGTCTGAATGTGGATAAAGGTAGTTAAGAACAATGTACTATGTTGTCCAAAAACCTGTTTATAATATTGAAATCGTTCAAAAATGTACCACAATCTATATACAATTTAGTTTACCTTCACAAAGTAGCCACCAGCGAGCATGAAAGTCATCACAGTTACCGATGCTAAAGTTGTGGCCTTCTTCAAATCCATTAAGCTTGCCCCTATAGCTAATCCAAGTCCCTAAACACAAAAACAAAATTGTAAGCATTATGCCTTCAATATATCTATGGTTTTACAATAAGACCCGTTATACCTGAGCTGCAATGATGCAGAGGAAGACTGTGAGTACACTTAGGAAAAAAGATTCAGCTCTTAATCTCAATCCTGCCATGAAATATACAACTACCAGGAAAACCAGAGGTAATATCAAGTCAAGTGGCAGGTCGCTTGTGGTTCTAGCCACAAAATATGCACTTAATCTATACATATTAGACTCTCGTTCCTTGCTCAGCATTGCTCTCTCTTGAGGAAACGTGAAGATAGCTGTGAATACCGGAAAGAATCCCCAGAAAACAGCAATGAAGAAGAGTAGTCCTACCTGAGATAAAAGAGAGAGTTCCGTTTTCAATATAAGAGACTAGTTACCACTAGTTACTAGACCAGAAAGATGTTTTCATACCTGATCTTGTAAACCTTTGGGATGTTGAATGTCTGATTGCCACCAGAGTAAACCTAAGATGATTGCAGTGGTGAGAACTTGAGTGACTCTCAACCAGCTGAAATAGTCATGCTTCCGTTCTTTAAACCCTCTTAAAGAAAGTATGCAATACTGTTCCCACCAGCTTAATCCCCATTCTCGCTTGGGACAAGTTATCACTTTAGCTTCTTCATCAAGAGGAACTGGTTCCATAAGTCTCTTCTTTTCTTTGACTTCAATCTGTGTCCTGTAAGCCTCCTCAAGATACTGTGTTTCCAAATCAACATCACAGTTAATATAATATAGCTCTAAAAGGTATCTTAAATGTATCTTTGCCTCACCTCATATACAGCTGTAGGAGTTGGCTTAGAAGATCTTATCTTGCTGCAAGAACTTCCCGTTTTCGTTTCCTCTTTAAGAGCTGAGGGTATGGAGATATCGTTCATGTTTCCATTAGCTAAGTCCAGCAAGAACTCTGCTGGGTTCATGGAGAGTAGAGGAGAGCATCCTATGGAAGAGAAGTAAGACAGTGCTTCTGATGCTTTTCCAAAGTAAAGTAAGCTTCCTCTGCTGAGTACAACCAGCTTGTCAAATCTGTGAAAGAGCCTGCTTGACGGTTGGTGGATTGTTGTTACAATAGTTTTCCCCGCCTACATGCCCACAAGTAAGAACTTGGATATGGTCAAAACAGGATTTGGAGATGCAAAGAGTGGATATCTCTTACCTTTGCCATACTTTGTAGCATCTGAACAATCTTTAGAGCAGTAGTAGAGTCCAAACTAGAAGTGGGTTCATCAAGGAAAAGAAGTGAAGGATTAGTCATGATCTCATTCCCAATACAAACCCTTTTCCTCTCCCCACCTGAGACACCACGCACAAATGACCCTCCAATCATTGTGTCTTGGCACCTATTACAACAGTTACAATTTTCAAATAAGGTTCCATTCTCAGGGCTTGTTAGCTTTACCGTAAGGGGAAGTGTTAAGAAAAAGTTTAGATGATAGTAGTAGATGGTAATGTACCTTTCCAGACCAAGCTCTTGTATAACACTGATAGCTCTTTGCTCCTTTTGCTGCTTTGTGAGAGTCTTAGGAAGGCGTAAAAGAGCTGTGTAGGTTAGTGTTTCTTTTACAGTTAAGTGAGGGAAAAGCACATCATCTTGAGTCACAAATCCAATCCTGCCATGTCAAATATACAGATGATATATTTATGCATCAACAGTTTCATCTAGAGACTGAACTGGAAGCTTATACCAACCTGGTTTTTAAGTGCTTAGAATAAGGTTTATCATTGTAGCTAACCGAACCACCGATGTTATGCTGATTAGATCTGCCACCAAGCACATTGAGTAGTGTAGTTTTGCCACTTCCAGAAGGTCCCATGAGGGCTAGAAGCTCCCCTGGATAGGCTGAACCACTAATCCCATTCAGGATGCTCTTTTCCGATGAAGATCTCATTCCTTTACAAGTTACCTTATATGTGATATCTATGAACTGCAAAGCACATGACAAGAATTGATTTGATCAGTCAAATTTTCAATCAAAAGTTCCCATATATATGCTTTAGTTTGCAAGAAAACTATAAATTTTCTAGAGATAAATGACTCAATTTCTCTCTGATTTTATTCACAATATTAATACCTATATAACCATACCCTTTTGGTCTAGCGTGAAGCTCTGCTTCACATGTTGCCGATAACCAGTAACGTGTAGTTGAGCCTCCTAAGCTTTGACTTTTGGGCACCAAAGTTAGACCAACAAAGAAGGCAAAACAGAGGTTTCCAATGTCTAGGAAGATTCATGATGCTCTGTCTTAATGCAATGAGGATGATAAAACTACTTTTGAAGAGTGAAAACTGTTTCTTATTTATGAAAGAAATGGAAAAATTCTTGTGCATAGAAAGAACATCGTATGAGATACAACAGAGGTTTCCCTAAAGATTCATGATGCTCTCTGTCTTAATACTGAAGTTGGACTAACCAATGGCAGCAAAACAAATATAGTATATTTCTATGGACATTTCAGTGTTGATGATTTAGATACATATCTCCATCAGTGCCTGCGCTCAAATAGAGAGTATCATAAAGATCAATCTCCATTGTTACGCATAAAATTTATCTATCAGGGGAAATGGTTTACCTTCAGATATATTGGAAATGTTGGTTCTTCATTAAGCTTGACCACATTACTGGTTACTGCTTCAATATCTTCCACTGCGAAATCAATGAACTCAATACACACCAAATTAACATCAAGACTAGGTGCTGTGCATAGTGGTTTTCTTACGGTTATCATCATTGCTGCAGGATCTCTCTGAAGGAGTGATCTCTTCTTCATGTGGCACAGCGATGCCAGTAAAAGAGAAGGAAAGTCCAAGGGAAGCACTAGAGGCTCGGCTAAGAGCCTCACCACCAGTGAGACGGCCAAGGTCAAGAGTCTTGGCCTTCCTTATGTGTGTGTTCCTTCTGTAGTTGTTGCTGTTGCTGCCACTTTGGCTCGGTGATGACGATGCTCTCACATGGTGCTTTCTCCCATGACTACTGCCCCCACCATTACTGAAGTTGAGTGAACTAGACTTAAGAGCTTCTGATAGTGTCTCAGATTTGGCCTTCACCAAGCCTGATGATGATGACGTGGTTCCCACTTCCATCTTGTTGATTCTGTACGCTTCAGAAGCAGGGCTATAAAGAATTGATTTTTTGTTGAACCATTAAGGACCATAAAGTCTCATTAAAAGGGTTTACAACTTACCACCTTGTGCTGAAGGGTTAGGAAGCTCTCTATTGTGTTTTTTCTTGGAGAGGAGACACACACAAATATCACCTATTTATAGAGTTGGGGATGCCCTTTGGCCATAGACACGTGATTGACATGAGACCATGACCAACAAACTAATCTCTGGCACATGCATTTTACAGGTAGATGCATGTTTTACTTTAATAGAAGAAATGGTCTTATCTATCTATCATCTTTGATACAGTTATTAGCAAAAAGACAAAACCTGACTTTCGGTTCATATGGGGGTAGGAAAGCAGCACGTGGATCTTGTTTCTCTAGACCAATCAAGACCTGTCTTTCTACAGTAGTTACTATCAAGCACACTGATATCAATATTGGTGTCGTGTAACTTTACAAGCAGAGTGTATCAGTTAACCAATTGGGTATCAACGCAAGCAAAAAGAAATCTGAACTAACACTTGTATGTAAACTGGTTTGTTGTTATGTCTTCAAATTCTAACAAGATTTGCAAAATTTCTTGTAATTAGAATTTTGAGAAATGTTTGGGTATGTTACTCTTCGCATTTTCTCACACAAGCAATTTTGCAAATATCGTTGGAATTTTTTTTAGAGGTAACACAAGACAACAACAAACCAGAAGATTTATCAACAAACCAATTTGCACACTAGTGGCGGTTCAGTTTACTCTCTGCTTACGTCTGGACGACTTGGTTAACTGCTACACTTCCTACATGAACCAAGAGGGAAAATGCAATAATGACCTGAGATATGTTTTCACTCTTATTATTCTCTTTAGAAAATGCAAACGTAACAATTTCATGACATTGACAACAACTAAAACCAAAATGGGCTTATCGTCATTGTCTCATTGGATCTCCAATGAATATCTCAACAAAGTAAATGGAGTGGTCCTTATTATGTTATGGTTGACTCTCACAAAATCACATCAAAAGAAAAACAGAAGAGAGTTCCATTCCCAGGACGGAGATACAAGAAAACATGATGATCAGTATCCCCAGTAGTCGTTACGGATTTCATCATCAAACTTCTTTTTGAGTTCTGGATGCTTCTCAAAGTACTCATCTGCAGTCATGGTGCTGAGCTTTTTCTGTTTACCCCAACACATACATACACACGCAAAGACGATGGTCACACATCAGAATCTTGAGTTAACAAAATGTACACAATGAATTCTTGAAAATACTTACGCTTATCTCCTGGACATCAACAATTTCTTTCTCTAGTCGTTCAGACTCCTTGAGCGACTTCTGTTCTGCTTCTTTCAGTTCCACCAACTATATAAATAAAATGAAATATGGCACAAAAGTAACGACTAAGTTAGCTGAAAAGACCCTTCTCAAAGACATTGTATAACAAAGGAAGAAGTTTCTAAATAATTGCTCACCAAAGCATCAAACTTTGGCTTGTACTCAGGGGTAACATTGTCCACGTACTTAGGAATCTCAATGCCTGCAGTAAACCAAGAAAGAGCAAACGAAAACATAACAGATCATTCCCCAAAATTTCCTTTGGTATATTTTCAGAGAGCTCAAACAAACGCAAGTCGAAGTGTTTCACTTTATCACTAAACGCACAAACTAGTTGAAACACATTAATGAGTCGTATTTGTATCATAACAAATACTGTTTCACAGAAATTTTGCAAATGATCGTGATAATTAGAGAAATTACACTCTATTCAAAAACCGCGAATTACGATCATAGGCAGGTTAACTAGTGGAACAATAAGATTGTACAGAAGAACGTACTGTCATAAGCTTCCTTGTACATGTCAACAATGCCAGATCCAATTCCCTTTCTGTAGAAATCCCAATCAATAGGTTCTGGCTCCTTCAACAAACAACCAAAACATTAACGAAACATCAGAGTCTACCACAATCCAACACATAACAACAAGAACGAGAGCATGAATATGAATTGCCTTCTTAGAAAATAGCATTCAGTGATACGATAAGGATAACAACAAATATACAAAACAAATGATCAAGGCAAACGTGGCCAAGCAACAATATCCTCTGGTTAATAATAAAACAGATCTTATCAACTATGATTCAACAATCTCAGATCAAATCAAATCACACCTGATTCCAGATCACTAATCTTCGAATTCAAATGATGAAGATCTCTAAAACACACACAGAGACAAAGGGAGAAATCGGAAGAATAATAACCTGACTGAACTTAGTCTGGAGCTGCGTGTTGACCTCGTCGAAAGCGCGACGGAGGTTAGAGAACTCTCTTCGAGCCTCATCGGTGACGAGGACCTTCGCCATCCCTTCCCAATCTATCGTCCTCGACGCTTTGAACGCCACATCCGCGATTTTCTTGCCTGCTCCGCTCATTTTTTTTCTCGCTCTCTCTCTTTGTCGATTTCACCTGAAACAAAACACTGATGGAATGCGAAGAGGAGGAGGAAGAAGAAGTAAACGTCGTCTGATCCAGCGATAGGGAAAGCCCTAGAATCCTAAATAGCCTTACAGGCCCTTTCTTTTCTCTTTGTTTTACAGTTTAGCCCCTTTCATTTAATTTTCATAATACAACCGAATTTAGTTTTAGGTTCTCTATCTCTCTCTTAGAACAAATTATAAAAGCTTGATGGTAATTTTTTTTATTTTAAATACAAAAGTCAGATTCAGAATCATATTTTTTTTTTGTGAATCACATTATTCAGCTGTTTTACTAAAAATTCCTTAAAGAAATTATTAAAACAAATTGATTAAAAAAAATGTTTACAATTTTTTGTTTTGACAACAACAGAAAACTATGATGTATGCTTTTCGGGTTTACAAAAGTTTTAGCATAGTGAAAGTAGAAGAGTCAAAATATGGATCTCATAATTGGCTCAGCAAATAAATTATTGGTTGTAGAATCATTTTATAGTGTTTATAATTTGTAATATCACAATTTTCAGTGGTAACAAAAAAAAATATGAAGCATGTAATATAAGTTTGTCCAAATCAATCAATTTTTAACCTTTAGAGTTTAGACGGTTTTTGAGGTCTTTCTAGTTGAACTAAGGCTACTTAATGGTAAATGGTCTTAATAGGTTGTTTTTATTCACATGAATCCTCGCATCAAATGCTGAAGTAGAAACTACACTAAAAATCACTAAACTTGTTTATATTTTTTTGTCTTTTTATCATTTAGGAAAGTTACATGAACAACCAATCAAAAAATCAAAACAAATAGGTAAAGTTTAAAGCAGCCAAAACAACTCCAAAACAAAAATAAAGACAATTGTTATAGACAAAAAGACACAACAGAATCTTCTCTAATCTCACCTCTGTTGCAGACTTTTGTCTAAAACTCTACTCAGTCTGTTGCTTACGAACCACCAGTATCTTTATTTTTATTGTTACCACTGCTTTCCAGCTTAGGAGGACCTGAAAACCGCCTTACAGTCTTATTATTAGGAGAGTCAGAGAACGAAAGCCGCTTTTTAGCCGTCTTCTCTGACCCCAAAGGACTAAGGTTTGAGAGCCGTGCTCTTGCTTTAGCTGCTTGCGTAAGCGCCATGTACCCTGGAACAGACTGTGAGACACTACTACTAGCGATACTGCTTTCATCATCTCTAGTAGATGGCAATGACCCGCCAATGCTATGCCTACGGTTGCCAGGCTGTTCTGATTGGATACTCAACCTACTCTTTGAGTCTTCATCACCACTTGGGACTAGCCTCATCACTCCAGGGCTTGACATTCTTCGACTACTTGGCGGTGTGATTCGTTTCGGTGATGGTTTTTTGCCTCGTGGAATGATCTCTGACCTGGCACGGCTTGCTATACTATTGGCAGCAGAAGAGGTTTTATCAGCGTTGTCTGGTGTGAGTGTGATTGATTGGTTTTCATTTGGTCTTGCAGCCATCCAACGTTCTAGCCAACTCCAACCCCAATGCGGGTTGTTCGGATCCATGAATGTTTGAGAACCCAATCTTGATGAGCCTTTCCATGTATTCTATAGCATATACAACAGTTTTTGAGTTTCATGTAGTGTAAAGATTCTAAAGAGTACTAGTTTGGTACCTGATGAGTGTATGCATATGCAAGTGCTTTCTCTCTTCTCATTGTTGCTACTTGCTTGTTCAACATGTTTGCTTCAACTCTCTCCCTAGACAATGTGCTATCATCCCAGTTTCCTCCAATCTATTTCACAAAAACACAATAAAATCATATAAGTTTGTATCAATAAAAAATGTTACAATCTTTGTGTGGATTTTAAAGTTACCTTAGCAAGCTCTTTGTTGTGTTTCTGTTGTAGCTTTCTTGCACAAGCTTGCTTATCCTCTGACAAACGTTGCCTCCTCTCACGAATCTGATACTGTAACCTAGCTAGTGTTTGCATGCTCTGCAACGTTGATGTGGCTTGACGTCTTACACCTTTCCCTTGGACTAGAGACTTTAGCCTCACAAGACCTCTCAACGCACGCAATGCCCTTCTTGCCTTTAAGTAACAAACTTGTTTCTATTACCAAACCAAAGTTGTAAATGTGAAACACAACGAGAAACATAAAAACGATATTATTACCATGTAACCTCTAAATGCTGTCTGAATCTTGATAACTGCAATCTCTTCCTTTGATTTCCCAGGGAAACGTGATGAAGCAGTGAGACGAACAACTTCAGCTGCAGCTTGAGCAGCTGCAACAGCTGCATCTGCGGCTGCAGCTGTTGCAACAGCCACAGAGTAAGCATGTCTGCTCTGTTCTTCCTCAATCTCTTTTAGTTTTGCTTCTCTGGCAACACAAAGTGTGTTGCTACTAGGCAAGGAACCAGCTACAGCAGGATTGGTAACATCCAACTTCTTGGATTTACCAAACCAGTTCTTGGCCTTATGAGGCTTCTAATGAAAGTAATAACAAAACCCATTGCCAGGTTACAATTCATCAAAGACATTAGATATATATATATATATGATGAAGATAGTTTAAAAATTACTAAGACCTGTTCATCTTTCTTTTGTTTTGGTTTTGGAGTTAAGGCCTTCTTCACAACAGCAATCCAACTCTTACCCATTTTTTTAGTTTTTCTTTTTTTGCAGATTCTCTGCAAATGCAAAAACCGCAGAGGCAAACATTATATAACTTCAAAACCAAGATTCAAGATTTATTAATCTAAAAAGAAATTGATAAGTCAGAGACTCAGAGCACTCACAGATTATGAATCAATTGTGGATCTTTCTTGAGGAAAGAGATAGCAGCCGAAGTTTTTTTTTTGGTAAGGACAAAAAAACTCTGGAGAGAAAAAAAAAAACAAAACTAGAAGACGTTTCAGTTTTGTTCAAAGGCAGAATCTTAGGAACAAAAAAAAAGTTTCAGTTTCAGTTTAAGAGATGAATTAAAGACAGGGAAACACGTATACATATTGTAACTGCGTAGTACACACGCGTACCTTACACTTGGGAAGTAGCAACAATGAAAAAAATAAATAAAATTTAGATCGACCAAACAGTAGAGAACGAGAGTCTTATGTAGAGTTGAGACAAGAAAGATGAATATGGTAAGTGGAGTGATCTATGTATGTATACAAGAAAATCTGGTTAGAGGAAAAGAAGGAAAGAAGGAACAGATCTTGAAGGAGAAGCGGTCCAGAGAGGAATGAAACAGTGCCCGTGACAACAGGTTAATATTTAATAAGACCTTTTCTTCATACCATAGCTGGAATATTCTTATTTATTTCAGTATTTAACCATACATATATAAAGTTTTCAGACATCTATACTATTAAAGCTGAAGTACAAAAATTATAATAGGTATTTAAAATTATAATGATTGGAAACAAGGATAGCCTACAAATCTAATGGGCTTATTATTAAACTAAAGATTACTACGGCCCAAAGTATCATTATTATTGTTTTTGGGTTTCTATCATTGATATTACTTTATTTCTGAAAATTATTTATACATATATGTATTCATGTTTTAAATGTATTTAAAATAAATCAAAAATAATATATATTTTATTTATATAATTTATACTAACTATTGTTATAAATTTTTAACAGTTATATACTAGCCCTTCAATTCTTCATGAAAAAATTAACTTAAAAATTTGAATAAATTGTTTAATGTATATAACTTTGCACCAAATTTAGCAAAACTTTTTTTTATAAACTATTAATAAAATGTTTACGGGTCATAATATTTTACGATACCCCTGTCACACAATACAGTGATGAAATACAATGTTTAAATAATGTACTATTACTTAGTCAAATTGGAACCATTAGATTGTAATTTTTGAAATGTTTATATATACCATAAAAATAAATACCCGCCCAGTCGGGCGGGTTATGATCTAGTTTCTTTTTATTGGGGTTTGTTTCTGTTGTCCCTTTGACTAACGAACTAATATTTGTTTTTGAGTGCATGAGATGTTTATTTTTTGTTATACTAGATTTTATACCCGCGCTACGCGCGAGTCTGTTTTAATAATTTAGTTTAATTAAAATAACTTAAAACTAAAATATTAATTGAGTAATATAATTTTCTTATTTAAAATATAATCTTTAATTTAGTATTTATGTTTTCTTATAATTATGTTATCTTATTAGCTATTTAGTTATTTGTATTTGTAAATATAATAATTATGTTTCTAAACATATT